ACTGCCGGGGGTCTTTTGGTAACCCCCCTTATGTATGCCGGGGGCATTTTGAACAGTCTCGGGCCCCCTGAACTTATTGTTGGTCTTTTAACGGCTAGTGACACCCCTGTTTTCTTTGGGGGGGTTTTTGCATCGTCTGCCAAGTTTTTGCTTTCGTAGTGAGTGATTTTCGTGTGAAATTCGGTACATCCTCTAGGTTTTTCCCAGGTGTATATAATTGTATTCTCCCCCTGCGTTCCCGGGAATACGGTTTAGGAACCCCAACGCTCCCATAAATTTAGGTTTTTTATCTCAGTTATGCACGCCCTGAAGGTTCTCTTACATTTTTTAGGTAGCAAATTTTACCCCGCCCTTTAAAGGGCTGTTATGGGCAGCAAATTCCCGCCTAGTGAAAAAAGTGACCTGAAGAGGGGCATCATGGGCTTGGCCTTCCAAATTTTGAAGGTTTTTCATTATCCATCCGTCTTTTTTTGCAGAGCATTGTACAAAGTTATGGTCCCCTTTAAGGGGAGATCCCCCACTGATCACTTTCCCCGGTCTTTGACGTTTGGGGTTTTTGCTCTGTTTTTCTTGAACACTCTGGGTTTCGAGGTACTGATAAAGTCTTCACTTTGCAATCCCCACAGCATTACACAAAACATAAGAGTTTTGCCTGTCTTTCGTAAGTTTGTGTCCTTGGGGTGCCTTTTCCTCCCGAATAATTTTGGTCCTTTTGGCATTTTCTTCCAAAACAGGCATGTTTTTCACAACAAACACTTGTTGGGTTTTTAATTTTTTGCCTCTAGTACCCCTTAACCTGTAAACGGTCCAAATGTATTTAAAACTTTTTACCGCTAGCCCCCAAACATATATTTTTATATAAGTTTATTTTTCCTGTCCAAATTTGGATGTTTCCCTGAGATGCCCGGTCAGCATAGATGGGTCTTAACACTCGGTGTGCACCAATTAAAAAAACTGGGACCACTTTGTACCTTGTGGGAGTCCTTTTAAAAAGCTGAGCTAAAGCAAAAAAAATGCAGCAAACACCCAAAGGGTTCACTGTTAAGTATATTAACACTCCCCCTTTTAAAAGGAAAAGGTTTTGACCCAAATTTTGTGCTGTCATCTGTCTCTTATCTTTTCACTGTCTATTTGTCCTGTCTACTATCTATCTGTCTGGGCCCTGCTCTGTCTACCTGCCTTGTCTTTTCCTGTCTCGTCTACTGTCTCTGTATGTCTCTGTCTACCTGTCCAATCTTTCTGCCCCTTTTCTATCTGTCCGGGCTATTCTTCTTATCTCTTCTCACAGGTACTTATAAATACAATTATAAAAATTGTAAATTTCCCGGGGATAACCAAAAAAATTGAAGTCCCTATACTGTGTTGTAGATATAATGCACAAAATACCTGTTTTTTCACAGTGGCTTCTCGAGACAGAAAAGGCAACCCAAAACAGAAAGAGAGAAAAAGCAGATGGGAGAGACAGATAAGCAAGACAGAAATGCGGGATGCTCATCAAATGTCTTTCCCTTTCCAAACTTTTAAAAAAACTGCCATCCCGGATGCTTGCCACTGACATCATGCTTAAAGGGAAAACTTCGTTTCTTTTTTCCTTTTCTTCTTCCTTTTTTCCTTCTTTTTCCCTTTCCCTTCCCCCTTTCTTTTTCCCTTTTCTTCTTTTTCTTTTTCCCCTCTGTACCCAAAAAACATTGCTGGGACCTTTATGATACTTTTTAATATTTTTCCTATAAAATAGTAAATAATCAAGGAAAGGGTGTAAATTTTCCCCGGTCAGTTTTGTTTGTGACAATTTGAGTAAAATTTTCCAGTCCCAAAAATTTTAAGTCAAAAACAAAGATTGTTTGGAAGTGCAAGAAAACTATAAAATTTCAATTATCAGAACAAAAAAATTTCCCAAAAAATTAATATGAAAACCAAAAAAAAAGGATATCATCAACACTTCTGCAAGGGGCAGGCCCCCTTTTGGGGCCATCGGGTTTTAATTCCCAAAGTCCCAAACTTTGGGGCCCTCATTTAAAGGTAAATACTGCCCCCAAAAAAAAAATTTTTTTATCCTATAACCCCTTAAAAAAAAATGTGTACTTTATTTCTTTTAAAAAAAATTTATTTTTTTATTTTTCAAAAATTGGGGGCACGGGGGAAGTGAACGTGTATATACCCCATATATTTTTGGGACCGTTTAGGGGTCCACATATTTTTCAGTGCTTTTTTGGTCAAAAAGGGGCAGCCTAAACCTGCCTTATCACACTGGGGGAAATGCCACTAAATTCTTAAATTTTAAAACCCCAAAAACCAATTTTTTTGCTGGCCTTAAATTAACAAATTTTTAAAAACACTGGTTTCAGGCATTTTTTTAAATTTAAATCAAAATGCAACTGCCTGCCTTGCCCCTTCGATTGACTGTAAAAAACTATTTTCCTGATAATTGTTTCCCAAAATTGATTCCACCAAAAACCCGCCCTTCCACATCTTCAAGTTTTGCTTTTCTTTTTTTTTGAAAGGGCATATTGCACCTTTTCAACAACGCTTCCTTAAACTGCCTTTTTTTGGGCCCAAGAGAGTAGCAAGGGGTTGTTGGGGTTTGTTTACAACCAGGCCAGTTTGGGAAGGCACCACTCCACTTTTGTATTTTGCGATTATCTCTTTCTAGTATTTCTCACCCTTTTTACCACAGGGTTAGCACTTGAAGCTTTTTTGCCCCTGCTGGCTTATTTTTCAGTTACAAGCACAAAAAAAAATGGA